GTGGGAGAAGCACGTATTTTTAAAGAGCCACATTTCTTACCCGTATCGTTCACAAAATTCGGAAGTGAACCACTACGCTCAAACCCGATGTCTCTAGTTATCACAACTGACATTCACGTTGAGAAAGAATGCAAGAATTTCCCGGGACGATTCCTAAAGGTAATAAACATACCAGATAAGAAACTTCCGTTCATCTAGGTGAGGTAATTCGGGTGTAATAAATCACTCGAAATCGGAATGGTAGACTCTGGCAAATTCCCTTGTGATTGTTAAGTTCACGTTTGTGTGCTAGCACTGCAGCCTACGTTATTCTTCGGTGGCAAAAGCGGCTTCACTGTGGACTATGTTAAAATGTATAAGCACAATGAAGAAGGAAGCTTTATTTACCAATCTCTCAGTCGTTTCAGTTTATTTTTCAGAGAGGGGACAGACGGAGAAATCGTGACAGTTCGTAATCTCATCCGCATGAGGACAGAGTGAAGTAAACCACTTGAATAATTTTTTTGAGCGAGCATCACCATTGCTGAATGATTTCAAGTTCGTTGGATACACTCAAAATGAATTGTCCATGAGAATGTCAGTATTTCTTTATGATTCTTGAGAACTGTTACTGTTGATTATAATAAGTTATACTAATTGAACTGATCGATTGAATATTGGTTCCGTGGTTGTTTTGGAGCTGTGCTGTAGATGTTGTTAAAAATGGTTTTCGGGATTTGTCATTTTTTGCTGTTGTCTTCGGTACAGTGATTTTATTTCCAATCTCCCACTAAAATTCAAGCTATGTATTTCCCTCATGTTTTTGTTACGATAAATCAATCAAAAAGTAGTGATTGTGTTGATCTACTGAGGCTATGAAAGCCATGAAATGGCAATCTGTAGCTTTCACACTGGTCAGGCCACTCGGTCACCTTCGTCACGCTAATGCTGAAGACGAAGTTGGGTGCCGGCAAACCACTCATAAGTGAATTTCCGACGCCCAATTCTAGAGGTTATTCGTAAGATGTGGTAAAGCTTCTCACTAGTTAGGGCAGCGTCACCCGACCGAGGATGGCTTCACAGGACTGTTCTTGTCAATGATCCAGTTCCATAACGAAGAATCCTACTTACTACAGTACGTTTCAAAAATGTAAAGCCACCCATGAAACTTTTC